AGGCTCGAGATTCAGCCGCTGTTGAAACTGATCAGTGGCTGATTCCAGGAAGCTGGGGGCAGAGCAATTCTGCCTCCAGCTTCCTGTAGTCAGCCTCTGGTCAGTTTCAGCAGCAGCGGCTGAATCTGGAGCCAGTTCCGACTTACATACAAATTCAACTTAAGAACAAACCTGTAGTCCCTATCTTGTATGTAACCTGGGTACTGCCTGTACTTGCAAGAGTCAGTGTTTCTGACTTTTTTTTTTAATTAAGGTTTGAGAAGCGTATTTATATTCCTTTGCCTGAAGACCATGGCAGGACTGCTATGTTTAAGCTTCACCTTGGGAGCACTCCAAACAGCCTGACAGAATCAGACTATCGAGAGCTTGGAAAGAGAACTGATGGCTATTCTGGTGCTGACATAAGCGTCATTGTACGTGATGCACTGATGCAGCCTGTTAGGAAAGTGCAGTCAGCCACTCACTTCAAAAAAGTAAGTATGTAAAATAAAAAATAAGTTGTGGAGTTTCCAACTCTGAGTTTCTAGAACTCAAGTCTTTTAGAATTTCTGGCAATTGAGCTTTTACCTTATAGTTCGTTAATGTTACTTATATGTGAATTTTCACATGCTTTTAATCTATGAAAAAATGTACATTCCTGGATAAAGAGCTTTTATCTTGGCTCTGTTTCAGAAAACTGGTCTTAAGCATGGGACTGGGATCCAGGAGTCAGTAACTTGAATTCCTGACTCTGGCAAATTGCTTCTGACTGCTATGTAAAGGGAATCATCAATTTCAAATCATCAACTTAAAACATGTTAAAAGTAACTAGCTTCAGGTATTATATCATCCCTGAGCTCCACAAGAATTGGCAGAGGCTTTTATATTTGCATTTTCCTGTCATGTGTCTCTTCCCTGATGCTGTAAGAACCTGTACAGTAGGGAATTGCTAATACATGAGTTCTGAAAAATCTGCAGAGTAAATAAACTGGGGGAAAATAGAAGCTTTTTCTCCATCTTTAAACTCTAATAATCTTCGGAGTTACCTGTAACAAGTACAGGTAAAAATATTTTGACTTTAAGTTAATGGTGTCACTGGAGCATTCTGAGCAGGGATTGTATCTCACTATTTTGATAGCACCTAACATCTTGTGGATTACAGTTTCAGCACTTACCATGCAGTTGTACAATGAAAGGACTTTTAAAACTGTGCCATGAGAGTGAGTCCATGTGTGATGACTTGCAAGAATTTATATATGTAATACGGTCTATTTAAAAATGATTTTTCTAACTATTGGATTTGCAGGTTCAGCTTGAGCTGAAAGTCATCTAGGTTTTTTTCCATTTCACAGCTATCAAATCCTACATCCCAAATTAGGTCTATTACATTTGTGCAACAACTCTGGCTTCATAGGACTTGATAACTAATTCTGTTGATGCATGAAATGGAATAGAGTTCATTTTACCCACCTAGCTTGGCTGTGCAATACTAAAAAGCATTAAAAAGCCTTTCAAAACTATTTTTTGCCAGTATAGGCTGAACTCTCTCTGCATATACACTAGAAACAGAGCTATTGAGTAAGGTAGTGCTGTTCTTTCTATAGAATCCATTTTCAGGGTAGAAACATCTACTACTACTACTACTAAACCCTTGTACTCAAAGTAGAGCATAGGTTATCTAGAAACACATGTAAATTATTTTTCTGCTACAAATGTTGTTAAATTACATCTCCCAGAAACACGTATATGCTTCTCTGCACAAGTGCACATGTTCTTTTCTTTTAGCAAAAATAAAATCTCCTTTATCATGTGTTTGCTTTTAAAAGCATTGTTTTCTGGGAGAAGCAGGATAACTGTCTTTTCTTGAGATGATGAAGGGAAGCAATTTAATTTGTATTTGATCCACCACACTTTAGAGGATAGTGACTTTGTTCAAATCTGAAACACTTTTATTAGATGGAAATTAATTCACACATGGTGAGGTTTTTTTAGTAGAGTCTAAATTAAACTGAACTGCTACAGGTTGGACCTCACTGGTCTGGCATCCTCGAGACCTGACTGGTCCCGAACAAGGGGATTTACCAGATCAGGGAAGGTCCCTTCCCTCATGGCCACTGGGCATGGTCTCCAGCCTTCCCCCACTGCTGCCTCAGCCCCTTAGGGTTCTCCTCGGTCTTGCTACTCCTGGGGCTATAGTGCAATGGCCAGAGCTGTGCAGCCGAGGAAGAGCTCCGCAGCTGCCTGGCTCCGCAGCCAGGGCGGAGGGACAGGGCCGAAGCTCCCTGGCTGTCACTGGGGTGGGGGCTGGAGTTCCCTGGCTGCTGGAGCCAGAATGCGGCCGGAGCTGTGGGGATGGGGCCAGAGCTCCCTGGCTGCCATTGGGATTGGAGCTTCCTGTCCAGGGCTGCAGGTCCATGGCTGTGGCCAGGCTAGAGCTCCCCGTCTCTTAGGGCGAGGGAGTTCTGCTGGGGCCAGAACTCCTCCCCGTGCCATTCAGGGTCACCACCACCCTCACACATGCTTGCCTCCTGGCGGAGTCACCACTGCCCCTTATGGCACTCCTCCTCGCCCACCAGACCTCCCTCTTCCTGGGCTCTGTGGTCCCGGAACATCTGTGGCCAATGCAGGACCACTTATATTGCTGGAGCAGGAAGATCCAGTTAAGGGAGGTACAATCTATACAATTATTTTTGGTTGAAGCTAGGGTTCTCATCCAAAATCACTTTCTAAGTAACACTTTCAGCTTCATAACACACATGACAAGGAGGGAGCTATTGCTGTTTTTACAGATGAAGAAATTGAAGCACAGCTACTAAGGCTGTATGTACACTACAAAAATTGTATTGAAGACATAGTTGTCCCTTACCTAACTAGAGCAGTTAAACTTTGTAAGATGCTGTAGCCTCAGACATGATTTTAGCCTGATTTGTGTGATGCATTGCAACATCTTAGTGTGTCCTGGACCTAATCATTTTAATTATGCTGTAACTAAGTTATACAATAGTTTATGTATTCTAAACAGGCCCAAAACTATTTGTCCAATGTCCCCAAGTGCAAGGCAGAGATGGGACTAGAACCCTGGTCTCTAGTTCCATTTCTTCTCTAATAAAGACCATTGCTTCATCCCTGAGCTCTTATTTGTTCTTGCCTTACAGTGTTAATTACAGTAACCTTGCATATCCTGGATACATGCACATTTCTTGCTTGCTCGCTCCCTTGAATGTTAGCAGCTAAATGGTCAGTAGTACCAAAGGCTACTAACAGATCTGATGATAAACTGGAGAAACTATTCAGATTCCATCACAAGAATAGACTGCTAACTGAAGGAATCAGTAGCTGCTGAACTTTTTTTCATATGATTTAGCCAGATCTACTCCAAATATAACTGGAAATTCCTTTATCCTGGTGGTGAATAAATTTTTTTAAAGAAATTAAATTAATACATTTTAATACTTACCTTTTTAAGTTAAAAATGTTGTATATGTGAAGTGACCTATGCTAAGGAGTAAGCTTTCACTCTAATATATTATTATTGGTTTTTTTTAGTTAAGCAGTACATATTACATGTGAAAGTTACTAGCTGAGCACTAATCAGAATTTGTTAGTTTTAAATGCAAAACATGTTTTACTAATTTTTTTCTTATGTATCCAAAACATTTAAGGTAGTTTTATTTTAACACATAAGAATATTAAGTATTTAGTTCATATTTAATTGAAACCAAACTTCATTCTAATTTAAATATATCTTGACACATCTTGAATAAAAATTAATCTAAGTGCATCAGTCACCATTTTCTAACATAATAAAAATGCGCAAAATTAAGAATCTGAGGAAATGTAAGTAAAGTGCTGTAATTGCTTCAATAACCACGTATGACACAGCCTTTTGATTAGCAAAAAGGAAAGCATAGTATAAACACTGTATTTGGCTGTAAATCAGCATGCTTTAATGTTCATTTGCCAGAGAGAATCAACGTAGGAAAAGAAAAAGTAACAGTGCAAAACAAGACTTCTAAAATTGATTATTTAAATCAAGGATTCCCGCTTGCTGATTTAAATACAGGTTGAATCTCCCATATCTGGGACACTCTGATCCGGCAACATCTGTGGTCTGGCATGGATGTTGCTAGACTAAAGAGCCCCAGGAGCAGGAGCTGGCCAAGTGAATGCGGGATTTACAGAGTCCCAGCTGGGCCAGCAGCAGCAAGGCAGGGGAACACTGGCGTCACCAAGGCCAGGTGGCAGTGGGGAGCCTCCCCCATGCCGGGAAACCCCAGTGTCAGTGGGGTCAGCGACAGCCAGGGAACGGCCTCAGCAGTAGCAGGGCTGGGATAGCCAGGAAGTTCTGACCAGGAAACCCCTGGTGGCAGCAGGACCCAGCAGTGGCTCCGGAGCTCCAGCAGTCAGGCCAAGCAGCAGCCGGAGAGTCCCAGCCCCAGAAGGGAAACCCAGAATCAGTGGGGCCAGGTGGAATCAGGGAGCCTCTGTCCCAACTGGGGAACCCCTGGTGTCAGTGGGGTCATGTGGCCAGAGAGCCTCTGGGAGGGGCCAGAGGTGGCCGGGGAACCCCAGGAAACCCTCAGCGGCCAGATGGCCCAGGGCTGGGAAACCCCGAGGTAGCAGAGCTGGTGGCGGTCAGGCAGTCCTGGCTGGGAAGTCCCTAGCAACACCTGGCTCAGCAGGGCAGGGAGGCTTGGCCGGGCCAGCTTGAGCTGGGCAGCGGCAGGGTGGGGAGCCCCAACCTTGGGAGCACCAGGGAGAGGAGCTGTAACTGGTGCAGCCAGCAGGGGAGCCTTGACCTTCCCTGGTCCCGCAAATTCCCTGTTCTAGGACAGCTCAGGTCCTGAGAGTGCTGGACCAGGAAGATACAATCTGTAGTAATTAAAATTGATTATTTAAACCACTGATTTAAATTACCCACCTACCCTGCTTTATCCCAGTATTCTCCATAGCCTTCCTTAAGAGTAGAAATAGGGGAATAACTAGTGATACTGTCAGTGTGAGGAATTTATCCACCATCTATTTTAAAACTGACTTGCCTTTCTGCAAGGAAATATTGATAATCTGTCAGCAAGCCTAATCTCTTCCTACTGGTTTTTTGTTTTCTTTACTACTGTTCCTTGTTTGATTGTAAACTCTGTGGTTGAGGATTTCATTTTCTTTTTAAATTCACAAAATGCCTTAATCTACTGGATATCTCTCTAGACGAGGGGTGGGGACCTCCGGCCCGGGGGCTGGATGCAGCCCTCGGTATGCCTGGATCCAGACCTAAAGCTCAGGGCCACCCCCGGCATTGAGGAGCCCATGCTGGTGCTCCAATGCCCCTGCAGTCCCTCTGGGGGCTAGAGTGCACAAAATCTATTAAGCTGCCTCACCTACCCCCCAAGGCTGTGATATGCAAGGGGAATGTGGGGAGTGTCTTTCTCCTCAGTCATGGGCCATGATGAGGGGTTTTTTCTACTTCTCACTTGTGCGCGAGCCCTCAACTGATTTTTCTGTGGGTCAGTGGCCCCTAATCCAAAAATGGTTCCCCACCCCTGCTCTATCAAACTATCAAGCACACTGGCATTTCAAGGAGGCTGCATTAGGTAATATGGGGAAGAGGAAGGAGGATAAGATAATTTTTTTTCCAAATCTGGAGCTGGTTGAGTCTATATGAGATTTAAAAAAAAAAAAATCTATAGCCTGAAAGGGAATGAGTACTGGAGAGCTATCAAATAATGAAGTACTGTTGCAGTATATAGAGTAGCAAAAAGGGCAGATGGTCAGGACCTGTAGTCTTGTTTTTATCAAAATATTTTATCTGTGTAGTGAGCTTAGCTTATCTACTCTATTGTGCCTTGTGGGATACAGTCACTTTAATCGTGGGTTTCAAGAGCTTAGTTGTGTTAATGTATTACATTAGTTCAGTGTGGCTCTCCCAATGCAGAGTAAGCCATTGCTCGCTTTGAAAATGAACAGTCAATTTAAATGTATAGGCAGGCTACAAAACAAAATATTCAATGTAGCGTAAGACTCATTATATACATTCCCCCCAAATCTCTGCACTTTAAAAGTAGTTTGCAAGTATTCTGAATTATTGAAGATGTGTTATCCAGCAAATGACAATGTAAAATAGCATTGTCAGCACTAGTTACACTACGTAAAAACATGAGGCAACTGTCATATCTATATTGGATATATGACTGTGGAAATAATTAATAAACATTACCTTTTTTCTCTCACTAGATGGCCCCACTTTCCAATTCAAGTCCTCATGCAAGAGCTAGAAAGCAGCTCAGACTCTGTGGCAAGCAACTTCTCTGGCACTGAGAGTCAATTACAACAACTTAGGCCATACCCAGCCTCAAAGCAGATGAGATTTCCATGAAGTGACCTTTATATCCATATACTTCTGCCACAACCCTCATGGCTTCTGTTTCACAGGGCTTTAGCAAGGAAAGGAGACGACTAGTGGGAGGGGGAAGTCACACTAAAGAAAATGCATTCTTTTCAGAAAAGAATCAACATTTATTTCAGCTGTGAAGACCCTTATATGCTTAAACTATAGTTAGTAAATGTTTACTCCTTTTTAGAAACATAAGACCAAATTGGTGGTTTACCGGTAGTAAAAGTTTACCATCTTTTGGAAGGTGAGAGTAAAATAACTTCCCCCTCTCATTCCTTGCAGAGTAAATAGTGAAAAGTTCTCTCAATATTGATCACTTTCTGCAGTAAACAGTGTATTGACTAGCTTTCTATTTGGCTTCAGTCTGTGGTCTATAAATATTTCTGTAATGCTTCACTTAAATGACTTTTTCTTTTTATTTCCAGGTGAAAGCACCATCACTGACTAATCCAAATATTTTGGTAGAAGACATGCTTACGCCATGCTCCCCAGGTGATCCTGACGCCATTGAAATGACCTGGATGGATGTTCCAGGGGATAAGCTGTTGGAGCCTGTTGTGTCCATGGTCAGAATTTTGTTTTTATTATTAAATGTGTTCCTTCATGTGTCATATAACTTTAAGATAATCCTAAAGTTTTCCACATGTGGGTGCTTGCAATTAGGGACCTAAATTAGCAGCCTGGTTTCAGAAGGGTTGAGCACACCCACAAGCACTTAGTTAATCCCAGAATGCTATCACGAGTCTGGTTTAGTTTGTTCCATGGTACTAAACCCTTTTGTTATGCAGAGTGGACTCTTTCCACCCTGATTACAACTTTCCCATATTCATCCTGCCTATCTACTGACCTGCAGCTAAAGCGTTTCTCATCAGTGTAAATTGTGTACCTATCAAATGTCTCCTCCACTCTTCATCCCTGCTTTTCAGTGATCCCTATCACGTGAACACCCTTCAGCTTTCTCACCTTTGTCACTAATATTTCCATTGCTGTCATCTCCAAATCTCAGGATTGTATTACTGTATTGAGAGAATGTAATAAATTGTTACACTGCAGGCTAGTGTTAACATATTGAAATTAATGCTGAAGACTCCCATTATCAAATATAGTTTTGTGACAAGTGATTATATATGTATCTAATTGTGGTTTCAGTGGATTTCTCGAAAAAGGTGTGTGTGAGGGCCCATCTTTCCTTTCCTCCACTAATAATTCCTTTATTCTTTGTCTCTCTAAAGTATTTTCTGTTTAGTCTGTAGCACAGACTATATTTATCTTATGTAGAGAAACAGTCCTCTCCTGAGAAGCAGGATCATAGACTTTGGTTCAGTCCAGTTCAGTCAATAGTGAAATTTATTACATGACACTTATTGCTGCGATATTTTTTCAAAGAACTGCAAGACTAGATATGTAGAAAATACTGCATATAGGTATTTTTGGCTGGAGAAAAAGTTAGGGGGAGACGAGCTGCCACTGTGCATGTTGCACCTATTGGAAGTAATGAATGAAAGATTTCATCAAACCATTTGGGCTCATCTAATTTAAAAGTGCTAGCTGGGTCTCTTAGCTACAACTTTTATTCAGGGTAAAAGTAATCTGCATAGAGGACTTTTAATTAGTAGTAATAATGATCTCAGACTAAATA